AAAGATTTGTTTTTAACGTAAATCTACACTGGATGCTCCGCCGATAATTAAAAAAATGTTTCGACTCACTCGACTAATGCAGCGCTACTTGTTCAGTCGGTGACCTAAACCCTTGACTTAACCTGCGTTAGTAACCAAAAAACATGAATTCTAACCTCTGTTATGTATAATCCGAATGATCGCAACATTAGAGAACGACTAAAGAAAATCAATTGTGAATACTTTTGCCACAATTTTTTGGTGACACGAGTTGATTTTAGCGAAAGAAAAAGGAGGGATTTAGGTGGTAGGTCCCAAGACTCCGATTGCTATTTCCGAGATGGCGAAAAAGTGGTCCTGTACGTTAATTCTTCCACCAGCTTGGGTACAACGCTTACGCCCTAATCAGTACATCATGACTAGATACGCAGTTTACGGATTCTACAGTGCCTGCCAGCCGCTGGATGCCTGCATTTTCGGTCACAGCTTGAAAATAGAACTCGAATAAACTATACCAGATATCACTGTAGTTAATTAGCCTTGCTTTCTGTAGCTTCTAATGCAGTTGTTGGAACTCCAGTTATCCGTTCTATGAAATCCATCCTCCACCGAAGGCAATACGCGATTTTTGTTTTCCCTTCACCGTGGTTCCTGTCTGCTATTCAGCGTCCGATAGACTAGCTGAACATACTTGCCATAAAGACTATTGAAACTTGTGCGCACCATTACATGCGTAATAAACTCATTACCTATGGTACCCGAGAAGTGTTTCGAAAAGACAAAGAGGCGATTTTTGGGTTTTCATCCAGGCCACCAAATCTAGCTTGTATTGCATATTGTAACCGCAATTGCAATATAGGGTAATAGCATCACTCAGTTCGTAAATAGACGTCACCAGATTTTTCTATTTGTATGCTTTCGCTCTACTAACGTTCTTTCCTTATGGTTTATAAGTGTTTCTACGCTGCCCGGAGTCTAAAAGAATACGGCGCACATTTGAAACGACGGGTTCGAAGTAGGAGCTCGTCATAGAATCGAGCATGATGCGTAATTAATTGGAACTACTCTGGCCGAGGTACCACATCTTCTCTCCTTTACTGCTAGTGTCATAGTAATGATAGTAATAATGGGGATGACCACATTACTTTAATGGCATTCCAGCCAAAACACATACTACAGAGCTTCAACTTCTCTAATGCCCTAACTGGCCTAATGAATGATGCGAAATGCCAAGTTAATTGAAGTTTCATATCTTCAACTGCAAGAGAAATATATGAAATTTTAGTTTCACTTTACATTGTAGTAAGCAGTTTCTTTCTATGAAACGTTTCGGCTGTTTGAGCTTTCAGACGTGGCCTCGCGTAAAATTTTTATCCAGCAAAGAAGCAACTTCCAATCATTATCTTTGTAGGTTTCACAAGTTGTGAAAAAAAAAGTTATCGAAATGCCACTGCCGCTCTTAATGAATTATGCGATTGGTGAACTGTGGAATGAAAAACAAGTGTTTATTATCTAAAATATGTATGTATAAGAGTATATTGTTATAGTTATTTTAATCAAATGGACAAAAAAACAATAGTTCACCAGCGGTAGAAGACCGGTCAGCATCAACGATAACTGGGATGGTAAATATGAGACAGGCGAAAATTTCGTTGGATGGCATTTCTTACCTGTCCATCCAGTTTTATAGCGCAAATTAACAGCAGATATTTCCATTCGTGGCACAAAGAAGAATTGTTCTTCGTTGGTTGTCGCAATCTTCTCGAAGAATAACTGGAAATAGTCTGGACATCTGAGAAGCCTCAGGCAAATGTGGAGGATACGGAATCAGTGATAGCGGAGTGAATCGCGTTGCAAGGACAATGGCATGAAAACCGCTCAAGTTTTTTCAATTGTAACGGCTTATTGAACACTATCTCAATTTGTCCCGCGCCTAAAAACCAATTTCACCATCAAGTTTAAGTAGTAAAATGCCAGCATCGTTGCCAGCTGGGCTGTAGCACCGGGCAAAATGTATAGGAAGCGTATCAAGCTAAGTCTATTAGATTTATTATCTAACAATGTAACAAACTACAGATTTTAGTCCACTATGTGTACCACGTAACTCGACATTGCAAAGTTCGGTGTTTCTCTGAAGGGTTCTATACTCTGTTTATATCTGTTCGAGTTCAAATGTGCCCTGACTTAGAAGGATGCCAATTGTAACGAGTAAATCTCTTTTTCCGCGGTTGTAATATCAACAAAACAGAAAACACATTTTCCTTTTTTAGAAACGGAACAAAGCACAATATATTTCTATTATCAGTTGTTGCGCTGATCGTTTACTGAGGAGGAAACATATTATATGAGTACCCTTTATACATCGACGAACTAATAATCTTTAACATCTTCTGTATATATATCATCTGTAGATATCGCAATATATTTCTGTTATTGTTGCGGTTCTCTATTGTTTTCATCGGTTCCTGTCGCTGTTGTCCTTAACAAGCTTCATACATTTTTCTATTCATTTGTTTAATTCTTTTCGTGTTAAATTTCCCTCGTTTTTTTTTGCGTTGCTTCGTCTACTCTATAGTGCTTCGTCGTTATTGCCCACGCGGTTTTTTAATTCAAGAAAGCTGTTCATAATTCTATTTTTTGTTCCGTTTTCATTGGCGTATCGCTTGCTGACCGTCACCCATTTTGTAGCACACGCTCTTCGTCGTCTGCTGGTGCATTTTGTCCGCGCTATGCCTTCCTATTTAACATTACCATTATCAGTAACCAATTTTTCTTCCTCGTCGTTATCTCAACGACCGTTCGATTCGTTCTTCGGATTTCGTTCATAGTCCGCGTTTCGATCATCGATATGCCCATCATCCTCGTCCGCTTATGATTGGCTGCCATCATTACTGGATTGCCTTCCTTCCCGGATACATAATGTCTATCAACACTCATCGCACACCCTGGAGCAAACTTTATCAACTGCTAGAACTTGGCCGTCATGTCAGAGCATTGCGCCGCCTATTATCGAGAACCGTTACCGAGAGTCACCATTACCTTAAGTTTCCCACGCTTCGTTGACTACTACGGTGGCGTCTACTCCGCTGATCATTTTGTCCAGTCTATGGCGACCAATTGGCTGTTTTAAGCAGAACTTAACTATCGCTAGTTTCGACATTATCTACCCGTGCTTCTTCCTTGTTTTCATCAAAATCAATAATAGCTATACTTGAAGCCTTAGCGTGTGACGACAGTAATCCCACCTATTTACTAAGCGTACCGTTATAACTCGCGTTTTTCTTATCGAGCTCAGGTCGTACCTGCCTTTACCGTCACAATGGACTAGGACATGTTAGATAATGATATTATTAGCATTACATTACGTTTGTGAACACGCCAATTCTTCCACCTTTGCTACTGATACCAACCATTGTCAATTGAATTTCCGTTTTGTGTTGTCCCCACTTTCTGTTCTCACTTTTCACATTTTTCTTTTACGCGTTCGTCCCTAATTTGCTCAAAACACACAGACATCGCTGTCTCTGCTTATTTCTAACACCAGAACAGATAGAGAGCAGGACAAAAATAATAGGCTTTAACTGCAAGTAAAAGGGAATAAATTATAAGGACATCGTCCAAGATATACAAAGGTTGCGGAACAATGTTGTCCTCTATGCTGCTTGGCAGAATTTAATAAATTTGTTTTTGAAACTAAAAACTGCTATATGTGCCCAAGCTGTAAAATGTACATAACGTTTCCTGCGTTCAATGAGCAGATCACAATGGAAAGGAATGAATTGGACAGATCTTAACGTAACATTTCAAATGTATCTGAACTTGAATACCCGTTACCCTAAATTGTGTTCCTCCGCTTTCGGGTTTATCGAAACAATATTCGACGTTCTGGATTTGCATTGGAAAAGTCTCTATTTGAAGGAAAGCGAAGATATGTCGCTTGAATGCCACCAGACGCCCCATAACCGATAGAAGGGGATACGTTGACAAATATGAATAGATACGAATGATCGCACGCAATACGCAAGAAAAAAGGTACAGTGTGGAACGACACGAGAACTTACCAAATAATAGCTAAATCTCTCGGCCTTTAGTCGGTGAAGTCTTTTATAAGATGTTGATTGTTTGCAGGTAATGACTCGGAGTTGGGGACAAGAAGCACATACATGTGCGGTGTCTGACCATTCTTTCTATCCGCAGATCTTCGATGTCCACCATTTCGGCGAAATCTAGCGAAATCAGCTTAACTAAATTATTTTCGTCCAGCTAAGTTAAGTTCGCTAGATTAGTTTCGCTTTTAATTAATTAAATTTAATTTAAACTACTTGATGGCTATGGCCGAAGAAAATTGATAAATCAATTGATTTCTTTAAATTAGCATATTATTTTTTGTCCGTTGTCTCTGTTGTTGAAATCTTCACGCATAGTAGATTAAAGTGGTACGTGACGGATGACAAAAATCTTATCATCACAATAAGAAGTCAACACTGGTCTTGGGATACATCCTAATAAGCCATATTTAATCATAACAAGATAGCTTTATTTTTCCTTTCATCTGATTGTGAATATATTTTCTTTCGTTCTTTTTTAGCATATATATATATATATATATATATATATATATATATATATGTATATATATGTGTGTGTATATATATATATATGTATAGTTTGGTGTAATCCACCCATATTTACCTATAATTACGACTGTACTATGTATATAATTATTTTAATTAAAACAGTCGTTGTAGTGGTATTTCATTTGATTCTCGAGGCTGGATTTCGTGCTTTAGATTGCACATAAGAATCGATTGAGTTGACGCGATTTCAATAAGGACTGCCATTTATTGTGTATTACGGATGGCCAATTGTAAAAATAATTTTCCTGTTGTTCAATGTCGCACAAACTTATTTTTACGTGAACCCATCTTTGTGCCCAAACAACAGTAATAAAACAATGTCCATCTCCTGATATTCCGTTTCCTTTCGAATGTAATTTTCTCGTTGTTATCGAGCACTTGATGTAGCGTCGTGCTCATATATTTGCTATTGTTACCGGTGTTTCTGAAAGACTTTTCTCCTTCTTAGGTCTTTCCTGGCCTGCTTTTTTCCTGCAAACGAACACATTGTGTGCACATGTAACAGATGCTATTGTCCTATTGAACAGTTGCCGTTTAGGACGGGTTCAACGTATTTCTAACTAAGGCAATCAATTGATTTTCATTAGAATTCTGCTTGGTATCTGTCGTTCGTATTCGTTGGCTATCGAACAGTTTCGTCCTAAATACAGTCCTGATCTTAGCTTAAAATAAACGCTTTCAAATTAGACTTTGTTTCGGGATAGTCGTTGTTGCAGTCGTGAAGCTGAGTCTTCTTAAATGATGTAGTATGGTTTTTGTGCTCTTCTCATTGGTTGTGAATGAATCTTGCAAAAATCGCATTGTATAGTGTCGGTTTAAAAAAAACTTGCTAAGTTTAAGATTGTACTGCCTGTTAGTAGTACTGTCTGAACTGTTTCTCATTTGACTTTGCGCGAGACATTAAGTAAAGGATTGCTTTGATTTTTTTTGTGATCGTAGTCCTTTTTGCTGAACAGAATTTTTGCCAGTTTTCGAGCTTATTTTGATGCCTTTCGGTCGTTGAATAAAGGATTACGGACCTCCATCTGACCACCCTGAAAATACCATCAAGAGACATAGAGGCCTGTTTAGCATGAATAGGCGAAAATCGTTTTCAAGCCACGACATCCATCTTTGAAAGAAAGTTAGCTTTATCTTCATTTTGTAGACAATTTATTAAACGCTGTCGTAGGCAATCAGCACTAATAAATATTTAACATATAATAATAATATCGAACAGTTTTATTCGATGTACAACGGATCATGTTATTAGCTATGCACCAAATAACCCGCAGCAGTCGTTTTCTAGTATCATACGTATCAACTTGTTAGTGCGGAACAAGACAGACAACATACGTACCGGAGCCAGCCCCGGGCACTCATAGACAGTGTAGTCCTTGTCCTCATCATCACTCTCTCCCTCCGAATGTGAACCCCGCCGGTTAGCAGGTGACGGCAGGACAGCCTGCTGATTCCTGACGCCACGAGTGTGACAGAGGAACGACGAAAAAGGAATGGTAAAAATGTGTTTCGTGTATGTCACTAGAACCTATTTTCCCCGTGTTCAGAAACGAAAGGCGGGCACAGAACTGGGCTGATAAGTGGTTGACATATATCGTTCTCCTTCGGAATAACCAACGCATAATTTTGGCTTGGTTTAGCTGTCCGTGAATCACAACGACTACTTTCGTATGCCATAGCGATCGCCAAGTGTAGCTACACGTGTACTACACTTGGGATCGCTATAGCAACTATTTGAATCCTGAATTGCCATACTTTCCAGTTTCAAAGTTAGCTAGTCAACGAAGCATACCTATTCTAAAACTCATCAGTTTGCTATTGATTGATGTGCCTTTATTAAATTTGCTTCGATTTTCCTCTTCGGAGATACTGGGTTCTTCGTACAGATACCGCCTTCACCGTCGCTTCCTGTACCTATATAGACTCGCACTATTTCCCGCTCATCGAAATATTATTATGCCATCGCAGCTACGGTATAATTCTCTGAGAACCTGCTCCATCCTTGACATCTTTGTTTGATGAAAGCTTTTAATTGCCTTCTCGTGGAGGCCAGCTGAATGCTGACACAAGTGAAATGATTAATTTTACATACACGTATATACATATGGGTTGATATAAAGAATGGCTCAAACACCACGTGGCAGGTTTTTGGAGAAAGCCTTCAGCGTAACCAGTTCCCTAGCATTGCTTTGACTCACGATTGACCTATGTTCTTTGTTATCTTACGTTGACACCGTCCTTCGATTCAGCGATTCTTAAATAGTTAGAATGGGTCAGTTTGGATATGATGAACTGAGGGCTTGTGTTCAAGGTCCAACGTTATTGAGGCTTATTAAGTTGGAGTTAAGGGTTTATTAGTTTTCTTTTTATAAAAGCTTTCTATTGAAGTGCCTATAAGTAATGCCACTACTGTAAGTTAACCTACTGCAATTAGGAACTCCTTTTGATCGATAGGAATCAATGATATGGTGACCAGATTGTTTTATTATCAGTATTGAAACTCTTTCCTTTGTGGGTTTACGGTAGAAAGTAGATGACCGCCAAAACGTGAATAAGTGTGGGTACCGTTTCATCATCACGAATAGATAAATCCGATCCGAAAAACCTTATGGAACTTTCTAGACTTACTTTTCGACAGCGATCATTTGTTGTTTTCGATGCTGGAAGTGATACATTTGGGCGTTCTGGGCAAGTTTTCGATCGGCTGGTGGTGAGCCCAACGCATTTTTGACAGGTCCCGTTACGCCGTAAGCAGGATAATCGACATCTTGCACCATTCTCTGGTTCTGATGAACGCGGTAGACACAGTAACCCGTTGACACGATTAGAAACGCGGCAATGGTACTGCAACCCGCCACTATAGCTGGAAAAAGCCAACAAATATATTCGAGAATTGAACATCTCCTGATTAAGAAATTAGTGCTTTAAAAACAGTGTCATCGCTCAGTTCTTATAGAGGTTATTTTCGAAAGCTGTGTCGTACTATCGCTGATTATTCTAAATGTTCTACGGTAAACGACATTAATCTTAAATGTAATAAACGTTCCTCAATCCCACCAAAAATAGATCTACTTCGCCGTGCTCAATAACTCTGTCATAGCTTCTTGCTTACATCGTCTGATTTATCACAGGCGCCCAATATTTTTTAAACCTACAGAGACAAAACGGGTGATTTAGAAACCAATGAAGGAAGATATAACATTTTCCATTTGCGCTTTAATTAGGGTCGATCTATTCACTACCCCTGGTTGACTGGAAGGCTATTTTAATTCGCAATCTTACTTTATGAAATGTATTTTTGATTTTTTAGTAAACCACTTAAACAAACACAGTGTATAGATGTTTAGGCTGCATACCAGGGTGAATCCTGATGGGCCCACTTGTTAGCAATAATTGTCTTAAGCCATATTTTGGTATCGGTTAGTGCCTTAAGGGGGACATATTAACACGCTAGAACTTCGAAGCTCATTCATCTATCTCTAACGGAAACAGTAGAAATCGTGTTGAAAGTTTCGTAATCACACTTCATCCATTTAGCCATGCTCGACGCGGTTCCGTCTTATGTATGATCAAGTTCTATACAAAGTCGACATAACTACTGCGGCTCTTGCGTTAAGGATAAAGCCATCTTTTTGCTATACCAGAGTCTGTCAATGAAAATCGACTAACCTAACCTAACCTAACCTAAGATTGAATATTCCCTATCACTAGCCCTGCTTTTTTTTTTTTGATACTTGGCATAGTAACACTATGTTATTATTCCTATTATTATATTAGAGTTCAGTTATCAGAATGATATTAATATTCAAAAAGCGTCTTCTACGATTCTCTCTCGTTTATCATACGTGGAAGTGATAAGATTGCCGCCTATGCTTAAGTAGGACACAGCCAGTAGCTTGAGCACTGTAAAGTAATTTGCAACTATCTAAAAATCAGTAGGACATGTTGTGGAGTAAAAAAACGTGTTGTTAGCCATATTTTTTAATCAAATCGTCCTCTTCATATTAGAAAACAATAACATGTATTTCCACTCTAACAAACTCTGTGATCTGTGAGAAATGTCGAATAGATAGTAACGAGAGGTCTCACGACTAAGCAAACTCGTACGTTTCCGTAGGCCTCGCTGAAAGTCTCAACAAACAGCTTATATTACTGTAACTTAGAGTTGAAGTCCGCTGCCTACTAGTAGGTATAGCAATGCGTCTAATTGCTCAGTATTGTGACATCTCTTTGGACCTTAAATTTTTGACGCTCCACACAATTCGAGATAGCATTGAATACGTATGCTGGCAAATATGGAACTACACGGTCGCTTTCCTAATTAAATATTGCAACATTTTCTTTCAATGTCATATTGAAATCTAATTAATGTCTTCCCACAGGGAATACGACCCGCTACGCAGATACTGAGGTTAAGGAGCTTCAATTTTAGCCGACAAAAACAGCGCAAGGCCAAACCTCATCTCTAATGTTGTCCATTTATGTATTTTACACAGGTGTATCTGTGATGTTTCTATTAATCACAATAATAATTAAAATAATACGTCGGTATCATAGTCCATAGATAGTGCTGTGAATAGGTTTAGTTATTCTACAAGTTACTTACCGATGAATTGTAGGTCAGCGAAATCCTCAGCCCTGATGGCGACCTCCTCCTTATCGCGCTGTAATGGCTGCGGCTGGGGCACACGCTCGACATAGGTGCTCGCGCTTTTTATGCCCTCACGGGAATCATCACCAGCGGTGCCAACAGGGACTGTCGCAATGGCCTTATTTACCTTAGTCGGCAATAAGTAGCGGGGAAAATGCTCGGCCGTAATCCGATAGTCCGGGCTATCCGGATCATCTGCGGGATCACTGAAATCTGCAAATAGCCACGAGTAAAAATGACTCACATCTAAGATGGCTGCTAGAAGATCCGCTGCTTCGTATAGCGTTCTACTGCTAAGAATTTGTATCTGACTCTTCGTCGTCAACGGTGCTTCTCCACAGGTTCTAACCACGCTCGCCGTTTTATGAGAGTTCGATTCCTTAGCGGTGAGCAAAATCAGTACGACTTCAGGTATAACGTATTCGAGATACAACTAAGCACGAAATGAAAGTGTAAAATCACACTTAGAAGGAGCAACTATTGAATATTATCAACTCGAATTTCCCGCGTCTCTATATTGCACGTAACGTGTACAAACGGGTTTCTTAGGTAACCAGTTCGACCAAGTCGATGACGATCGTACATACGGCATATGTTATATGACATGAAGTATTTCTGCTAATATCGGGTTTTCACCAACAACAGATCAAACAGTCTTCGCCCTATGAATGTCGCACAAACGACATTTAAAGAATAATAACAGCGACTTATATGTAATAGGTTTAAAAATTAGCTGTGGGTGTCGCGGGAAATCTCGGCGGGATAGCCACCCTTCGAGCTTCCCATCAAAGTACAAGGGGGTAAAAAATCTTTCAAACATACGTATTCGATATCCGCCACTTGGATTTACTGAATATAGAAGGCAACCGTCGTGTCGGTTGTGTGGCTAGGATTGAATATCCGATGGCTAAGACAGTTATTGTATGGATGGCAATTATTAGTGAAGATGCCGGGAGGACAAGTTCCAGGTAAAAGGCTTGATGTCTTCTGAATTATAGGTTTTAATTATAGCATAGTCGAACTGGCGTACTACAGATACCTAGGAAGTACAGCTTCTATCTCGGGCATAAGATATTTGATTGCAATGGACCGTCTCTCTCTCTCTCTCTCTCTCTCTCTCTTTTCCTAGAATATATCTCGCTATGCTTGGCTCGAAAACAATGGCTTACATGCAAATCATTCGTAACAGGTATGCATGAATATAACATTTGCTAGCACTGAAGGGATCTGCCTTGGACTTTACACATGACACGCCCAATATGAAAAATGCTTCCAGCAATATCTGTTTTAGTAGGTTTGGTCGTAAGGTTAAGATAAGGTGGCTGACGACCACTGAAAATTTCACGTGTTCTAACTCTAACAACAAATACGTAAATATGAGCACACATTACTTTTTCTTACGCTGTTACACAAATTCTGATTTTTGCCTAAAAGGATGTGAGCAATAGGACAACCGAGTAGGCCACGTGGCATCTGTTTTGCTGCTGCTGCTTTCGACTTGGTTGAATCGCCAAGTGGCCTTGAGGAGCGACGAGCCTTTTCATATAAAAGCACATAAACCTCTTTTCACGTGAACAATGCGCTTCTTTTACGACGTTTGTATACGTGCATTCGTTTATCTAGCTAGCTGAAGGATCATTGCCACTTCACTGTAGCTCGACACTCTAATCTGAAACAACATTGCCACTTCGCATGTCCTAGCTCAAGTAGGGCGCTGCCAATATATCGCTCTACTGCAATTTTGTACGGAAGCTCACGAGGCCAGCAGAGAGAGAGAGAGAGAATGGCCTTATAAGAGGAAACTGGCCCTTTGCTACTTACCTCTTCAACAAGTGCCTGTCGGAAAGTGCGTCATTATTGGGACCAGAAAAACGAGCATAGATAAAAATAAACACTCGTGCTGGACATGGTAAGCTCGAATGAAGTTCAGATAAGAGCAGACTGAACTGTATGTTGTCCCTGAAGTTAGTAAAGTTATCCAGTATTTTAAAGTTCCTGTATGGCAACGACACGTAGCTCTTGAATTGATCCACGTGTATCTATTTTTGCCCCGCTGAAGGGTGCTGATTCGTTTCGGTGAATACACAGCCAGTTTATCTCCGTGTATGTCATGGCATAGGCGTACGCGTGCTCTGTTGACTGGCTCTGGTCACATTGTCGGGCCCACTACAAGAAGCGTAGGAAGATTCTACAGCCCAAGCAGAGTTATTCGACCAGTGAAAATAGACAGTCGTATACGAGGCACGGCAGACGGTAAGGGCATATTGATTTTTTCCTGTCACGGCCTGCACACAGAAGCTCGAGCAAAACGGAAGAATCCAACACATCGAGATGACGCTGGCCAGCATTTTACGCCTAACCACAATAGCTCTCCAATCTTCAAATGGATAAATGCAAAGTGACTGCTCTGCAGCAGTCCTCTGCGTATTAAAAATTCAATTGGCCATGTAACACATATATAAAAGATTCAAGCTAATTTGGACATCCGCTAACTGTTGTATTTTTGATTCACTTCTTTCTAACGTACCTATCTATTTTTATGGAGCGAAAGATGAAGGAGAGTTAATCTCGCTCATACGTATCGTTAGAGTCAAGAAAAATTTATGCGAGCATGTATAAATATGAAGTGACAGGTTATGCTTCAACGGTGCCATATTGGGACTCTGTCATCGTTCCTTAGGCATCGCATAGAGTACATCAATATTGTTCCTTGCCTCTGGCATTTTGTTTACGGAGTCCACGATTGGTATCTACAGAACGAGAATGAATTATAAATACTTCCGGTTGACAGCATGCGTCAAGCGTAAAAACGATCCTACATTAAGGTCATTGAAAATCACCAATCAGATCATGAAAAATTGCGCGTACCTAACGTATATACTTAGTGTGTCCTGCCTGGCACCATCTAGTACACAGAAACTGAATAGAGTCCATGGTATTTCGGCAGGTAGGCTGAACAACATTTTCGGAATCGCCCAGTACATAGTTGAACGGATTTAAGCTGGGATTCAAATATCGGGTCGGAACCTAGTGGCCTCCCGGCGCACATGTTACAATATACACATCGAAGTTAACCCACTATTAGGCTGATAGCTTGGCTCGAGGCGGATTTACTTACTGGTTCTATTCTGAGTTGAGGACACGAATGGCACGGACGGTCAATGCAGATTTCGTTACGTCAAGGTTCGTTTCGTTACGAGAAAGATATCAAATAAAGAATGAATTGAACGTGTCTACCGCCCCCCAAGATCTACGAGCCAGTTTAATGATTCTATTATATGCACCGCATGCGCTCAACAGTGCCGTTCAAACGTCCAGCGGTCGAAGTTGATAATAGCGAGAAAATGGCAGACCCATTTCTGCCATTGAAATGACATTCTTAGTCCGTATGTCCTCATAAGGCTCACCTGCATGCAATCAGCACACATTTAGACGACAACAACCTTTCACATGTTACATGCTGCACGTGCGCTTGAGTGCATTAGTTCTAGACTTTTTTGTCAAAATGGCCCGTTAAATTGTCTAAACAAAAAATATATGTAATTAGGAGATCATGAGTAATATCCTTGAAAACACGGGACGAGGGTTAATTTGAGGAACAGCTCTTCTTTAATCTCGTTTTAATCTCATTTTAATCTCGTTTGATTGTCTATCGTGCCCTCGAAACGTGTCCTTATCGTCGTATGGTTTTCTTTGTATCGTGGCCACGTTTAATAGAAACTATGCTTTCGGGAACGAAAATAAGGGTGAAAATGATAATTTCTCTTTTATTTGTCGCTAAATTTTATTCTAATCTTGTGCGTCTCAGTTTAGTGAAGCTATGTCGCTTGAACCTAATTTTTTAGATCAGTCATACGAGCCTACTTTTGGTCCCGGCAATTTTTACAGATATTGTTTGCCGTCCCGAAACGTTTTATGAAGGGCTGCTCATGAGCAAGTTTCCAATCAGACAAGTACTGTGAGCTCGTCGGCAGCTACTGCCGCCAACGAATTCCACCCAAACAACGATAGGACACCGTATCTTTTGGTCCCTTTCACCGACCGAATCTACGTGGGCAAAGAGCAATATAGTGCCTACGACTACATATATTAGTCCAACGAAAGTAAAAAAGCTCTAATTCTAATGTCTCTCGTTCTTTCATTCTTTATGCGGTTACATCAATGGCCCATCGCTATTAGTCTCATTTTATCGCTGGCCGCCCAGTGATGAAGCTACAGTGGGTCGAGGGCCACCACAACAATTACTGTTACGTAGCTACGACCAAAGAACGATCCGTTCTCGTCAGCGCCGCTACCTTCCTTGCTAATAGAGACCCACGTCAACCATATGTACCACCAATCTGCCTTCTGCCAAATCTATATAGAATATTATATAAGCCCATATTGCAGCCTAACAGATGCGAAGACCCGTACGGCTCACCAGACACACGGAGAACAAACCGTCGGATCTAGCGAATCGTGCTTGGGCAACACTGAATCGGTCCTCGTAAGTTTATGTACGCTTCATACTATCAATATATTCTTTTCGATTGCGGAAGTGGCCGTCGTCCTAGGCAATCTCATACCTTCGGTCGAAATGATTCAGACTGAGTCCGTCATCTACGCAGACTTGTACCTACATAGCTATTAGTGCATGGGTAAATGCAAATCTTTTTAAACATGCTCTTTTCTTTAAATGTTGCATAGATATTGCAGGCACGTCTAGCATTATTTTTTAAGGAATTAAATCTTCACATTTCATACATCGATCTGTTGGTTTCATAACTGTCAGCATTTTTTTCGAGTAAATCCTGTCTCCTCAGTTCAGTGTTTCTAAAGAGATCTTATAGCATGTTGGGGAGCTTCCAGCAGGTTTCCTAATTATGTCAAATTTACAGACACGTTGGGGCCTTCAATTAAAAGGATTGTTTCGTAAGGTGAAGCTCCAGAGGAGGAGGTTCATACTTTTGCCGTTGCGTCTGTTCACGAATGTGAGCTCACTGGACATGTTGCAAATAACATATTGTACCTCTCCGTTTTTCTAGTTGGTTACATAGTCAACCCATCAGAGTTATTAGTTTACATATGTCTATATAAGATACCTGATGCGTACCTGCATACCCATTCAGGACCGAATTTTACTATCCCAAAAGCAATGTAACCCGCTTCCCAAAAGAAGCTTGAGAACCGTCAATAAAGGAGTACACAGACTTTTGTCACTGCCTGCACTACGG